CCGTGGATGCTTCACGACCATTGCCAGATCAGCCTTTTGCCATCTCCAGCAGGTCAGGCAATTGCTCCCGTATCTCTCCCCCTGTGATTAGCCACAGTGATCCAGGCATTTGGCACCTCCAGGCTGGACTACTGTAACTACTGTATGCAGGGCTGCCCTTGAGTTTGACACCAAAACGTCACCTGTTCCGGAATGCAGCAACATGTGTCCTTACTGGAACACCTTTTAAGAGCGCACAGAGCAACCAGTGCTCCGCCAGCTGCATTGGCTCCCAGTTGAGTACCAGATCGAGCTCAAGGTTTTGGTATTAACCTTTAAAGCCTTGTGCGGTCTGGGACCATCAGATCTGCAGGACCGTCTCTCCTGCTGTGTCCCCCAAAGACCTCTGCATTCTTCAGATCAACATCTATTGGTGATCCCCGGCCCAAGGGATGTCGGCATAGCCTCAACGAGTGCCTTTTCGGCTCTGGCCAGGTGGAACAGTCTCCCGATTGAGATCAGGGCAGGAGGTGATGTGAAAGACCTCCGCCTGAGACCCTGGAGAGCTGTAAAGAGGGGCTGTGGCTCAGTGGTAGAGCATCTGCTTGGCATGCAGAAAGGCCCAGGTTCAATCCCCGGCATCTCCAGTTAAAAAGGACCAGATAGTCAGTGATGGGAAATATCTCTGCCTGAGACCCTGGGGAGTCATGCAGTGACGCTGTGGCTCAGAGGTAGAGCATCTGCTCGGCACGCAGAAGGTCCCTGGTTCAATCCTCAGCATCTCCAGTTAAATAGGACCAGGCAGTAGGTGATGTGAAAGACCTCCATCTGAGGCCCTGGAGAGCTGTAAAGAGGGGCCCGTGGCTTAGTGGAAGAGCCTCTGCTTGGCATGCAGAGGGTCCCAGGTTCAATCCCTGGCATCTCCAGTTAAAGGGAACAGGCAGTAGGTGATGTGAAAGACCTCCGTCTGAGGCCCTGGAGAGCTGTAAAGAGGGGCCGTGGCTCAGTGGAAGAGCCTCTGCTTAGCAGGCAGAAGGTCCCAGGTTCAATCCCCGGCATCTCCAGTTAAAAAGGACCAGGCAGGAGGTGATGTGAGAGACCTCCGCCTGAGGCCCTGGAGAGCTGTAAAGAGGGGCTGTGGCTCAGTGGAAGAGCCTCTGCTTGGCATGCAGAAGGTCCCAGGTTCAATCCCCGGCACCTCCAAGTAAAAAGGACCAGGCGGGAGGTGATGGGAAAGGCCTCCGCCTGAGACCCTGGAGAGCCACTCCGTGTGTCCCAGAATCTGGAGCTGTGTGGCCACACCCTGTCTGTGCTGTCCCTTCCAGGCCCTGCCTGCTGATGTTCGAAATCTTTCAGAAGAAGCTTTCAGTTATCCTTTCCAAAGAGGCCAGAAAGGGACCGTCTTTCAGAGTTGCCTCCCTTGTGCTGCTGGAATTAAGCAGCTCCCTGGATTAGAGTCGAGGCTGAGAAGCCGGGCCCAGCCCGTCCGTCTTTCTCACCCAGCCCTGGGCGGGTTCCTTTCAGGTCATCGGCTGCCTCGCGCTTTTGATCCCGCGAGAGGCCCAGAGAGATGGGAGCTGCGTCTGTGGGGTGGTCTGCAGCAATGCCTCCCTCTACGCTGTGGGGTCTTGTGAGCAAAAATCCTACTTTGTGAGCTACTGGCATTACAGTTGTGAGTGAGCTATTGGGCTCCTGCATGAATTACTCTGCTCTGGAGCCCCATCCCTTCCTGAGCTGAGCAAAAATGTGTGAGCCGGAGGCTAAAAAACAGTGAGCTAGCTCACACTAACTCGGCTTAGAGGGAACATTGGGGTGGGGTGTGGCTGGGAGAGGGGGCAGTCGAGCCCGGGCTGGGATCACAGGTCCAGCCGCCTTTCCTTGTGAGGCACCCTTGTTTGCCTGCACCGTGACACCCCGAGTCAGTTTGAGGCTCTCTGCAACTGAGACTTTCAAACGCAGGAACGCGGCTCTTTTGTTGCTTTGCATGAGCTTTAGCAGGTCTCGTTTAACTTGCGTTAGGAGAGGCGGCCAAACGTTTACTTTTCCGAGGAGATGCTGATCGGAACCCAGAGCCCGCCGGTTGCCCCTCCTGCTTTCAGGGTTTGTCTAGATGGCCTCGGGGGATATTCCCGGTCCGAGCGTTCTGTGGAATGGGAAAGCCCTCTCTGTCGGCGTCTCCCCTGGGTGTGTGCTAGGGTTTCCATGGCACGCATTCTCCAATTGTTAGAAGATGCTGGGAAAGGGCGGAGGTTGGCCCTGGCAGGATTACTTGACTCACGCTGACTGACAGAGAACAAAGGCTGGATTGTAGGGCTGTGTCCCCAGTGAATAGACCCCTTGGCGTAGCGGCAGGGATGTTTCCCTGGCGATGGCTCTGTGCTCGCGGCGATCCTGGTCTTGTGCTCTGCCCAGAAGGGCCAGCTGGGGCTTGCTTGCCACGTCACAAGAGTCAGGGTTTCGTGCCTGGACATCTCCTTAGCAGCCCAGCGGGGGTTCTGCCCCCGTTGAGAACACATCATGCAAGGCCCACGGACAACTGAGAGCCACAGTGGGGTACTGGATGAAGTGCTGGACTAGGATCAGAGGACCTAAGAGGAGCCCTGTTGCTAATTAGCTTACTGCTCATTAATTTCATGGAGAAAGGGAGAAAAGTGCTTCTTCAGCCGGTGCATAATCTTGTAAACCTCGATCGTGTCACCCCTCAGCCGTCATAAGCCCCGCCCACCTCACAGGGTGTCTGTTGTGGGGAGGGGAAGGGAAAGGAGTTTGTCAGCCGCTCTGAGACTCTGAGTGAAGGGCGGGGTATAAATCCAATCTCTTCCACCAGGCATTCGACCACACTTAACATCTTGATAACCTGGAGCCTCCCTGGGTGTGTTTGAACCATCTAAGTCTGTACCGACTGACTCCTGTTAAGAAAATATGGGATTATGACTGCCGCATAGGATGTAACTCCTAGGGTAATATTTACAGCCAGTTAATCGAGTCTTTCTCTTAGACTCAAGGTCCGAATGTAATACGCTTGTTACAAAGAGGAAAACAAAGGGAAACAACTTATTAGAGCTCTTAGATGCTTCACGGAGGGACGTTTGCCACACGAGGGAAGTTTTGCCGTTTGAAATGCCGCGTAGACTGAGTCAAATCATAACTTAATATCGGCGATTCCCGGTCACCAGAAATTAAACACAATAGCGCAGCGGTGTCGAACTCATTTGTTATGAGGGCCGGATCTGACATAAATGAGACCTTGTTGGGCCGGGCCGTGGGTGTCATAAAATGTAAGGCCAGGTAGCGGAGATATAAACTTTATAAAGGACACAAACACAAAGGGTTGGGTTTTTTAACTTAAAATAAAAACATGCTTAAAACATTAGCGCCCTTGCAATAATATTTTGTTTATTTAACAGTGTCTGAGAACTGACACCTCTTGCTCTGAATTACTGCATCAAAATGTCTGTGCTGTTGCAATCCTGAGTATGCTGTTCAGGTGTGTATCTGTAAGCTGCAAACCTACGATGATGCAGCAGCAACAGAACTGGAAGAAGAAGCAGGAGACAACCAGTTCCACTGCGAGCCTGATAGAAGCCCTCTGGGGGCCTGATCTGCCCCCCGGGCCGCGTTTTTGACACCCCTGCAATAGCGTGCCACCAATAGAGTATATGAAATCGTTCTAAGAATTTTGAAACATTGCCTTCAGTACTTCAAGACTGTGATCCATCTACAACAGCAAACAAACCTGACGGAGAGTACGCAGACGGAATGATTACGAGAACGCCGTTGTTTGTCTTAAGTCGTTTTTCTCTTTGTAACAAGAGCCAGTTTGGTGTCGTGGTTAAGTGCGCGGACTCTAATCTGGGAGAACCAGGTTTGATTCCCCACTCCTCCACTTGCACTTGCTGGATGACCTTGGGTCAGTCGCAAGCTCTGGCACAGCTGTCCTTGAAAAAAGAGCAGTCTCTGTCGGAGCTCTCTCAGCCCCACCCACCTCACAGGGGGTGTCTGTTGTGGGGAGGGGAAGGGAAAGGAGTTTGTAAGCCGCTCTGAGACTCCCAAGTGAAGGGCGGGGTATAAATCCAATCTCTTCTTCTTCTTCTTCTATTGCATTTGGACCTTGAGTCTAAGTTAAAGACTTGATCACTGACTGTAAATATTACCCTAGGAGTTACATCATTCTGAATGTACTGTGGAGCTTCATGGTTAATGCTTAAGCTGTATTCTTGTTAATGACTTTAAAAATACTCTTAAAAATGTATACTTGGCATATATAAAAAAAGATAAAGATTGTACAGTTCTACACGGTGATTGTTTTGCTTACCCGCTGTGAGGGTGTGCTGACGCCGGCCCTGAGGGCAAGTCTGCATGACCGTGGCTCCCGTAAACTTGTGCGTGGAGCCACGGAAAGGGGTGGTGGGCAGGGCACCACTCCGCTCTCCCCTGTAGCCCCGTGCTGGGGGGAAACGGCAGCTGGATGCTCCTTGCAGGGGAGGGAGCCTTACCCAGAATGTCACCATGCCATTCTTCTTTCCCCCTTTTTGCAGGTGCCGGCTGAGAGGCCAGGGGTACCACTGAACAGCTGACCCGCCCGCGTTGCCCCGAGGAGCCCCGTATTCCCAGAAGCGGCGGAGTCTGGTGCACCTCCTGTGGCTCCCGGTCGGTCTCTCTCTCGTGTGTCTTCAGAGGGAACCTCCGATGGGACTCGGCCGTCCCTGCTTGGGGCCAGGGAGAAAATGGGCACGGCAGGGAAGGAGGCCGGCGGTTGCTTTCGGTGAAGATCTGGAGCCGTCCCGGGTGGGGCAGGAGAGGCGGGTGAGGCTTGGCGTGGCGCTCCCCGCTTAGGATGCGGGGCTTCTGTTCCGCCACCGGTGCCGACCCGCTGGGCCTTCCCACCTCTCCGTTCTGGAACTAGCGTTGGCTGACTTTGGCCAGACTCGGCTGGGGCCACAAGCCTTGGTGAGACCCCCCCCCCCGTGGGGCAAATGGCCCGTGCGGTTTCCCGCCCCTCCTAGCTGTGCCCCGACGGACGGCCGTCTCCCCACCGTCCCCGGGGACCCACGATGGGGTCGGGGCTCTCCACCGGCGCCGTGGTCGCGATCGCCTTCAACTGCCTCATCGCCTGCCTCATCCTGCTCCTCTTCCTGATCCTCTGCAAGGCCTGCCGGACCCCCTCCTGCCCGGATAGGAGCCCCTCCCACGAGGCGGACGAGAGGGGGAATGAGGAGAAGTACCTCCTGCAGCCCTGAGCCCCGCCGGTCGGGGAGGAGCTGGCCCCGGGCCTTCCCTTTCCAGGAGACGGTCCTGTCCTCGAGGGCTCCGGGGCCTTCGACAGACCTGCAGCCTGGTCTCGCCGGGCAACTCGGGTTCGCCGTCAGGGGCGTGGGGACCATCTTGGCTTGGGGGGCGGGGGCGGGCACCCCTGAGCCATGGAGGGAGGACGAAGCCGAGGGGACAGTGGGTGGCTTTTCCGGCGGAGGTTTAGGGGACGGGGGCACAGGCTGGGACTGACCTGCCGGCCTTCGGGGTTGCCTCGCCGGGCTCGGAAGAGGCCCTGTGGCTAGAGGGCGGGCAGCGGTGGCACCATTTGGGCTATTCCTCTCCCGTTGTCCACGTTTCATGCAACCTCCGGGGTGTTCTGGGGCCCTCTCAAGAGAGAGAGAGACTTCCCGGCTCTCCTCGCGGCAGGGTGATGAAGGGCCCCTCCCTTCCCTTCTGTCCCTTCGGGGCCCGACGGCAGAAAGGTGGCATGCCGGCTGCCCTCGGGGAGAGCGTCTCTAGCCGGCTCCTGGGCACAGGAGAAGCACGAGGGCTGGGCTAGAAGGCAGCCGCTCACCTTTCCCAGGAGGAGGCCTTGGGGCCGTTCTGTCCCATAGCAGGTGTGGAGCGTGCCAGCCGGTTGGCGCTTGAAGCCCTTTGCCGCTGGGGATGGCGGGGGGGGGGGCTGGGGCGGGGCTTCCCCCCGGGCCCCTCTGCCTTCCCCACCACCCTTGACGCTTCTCAGCGACCGCAGTGCAGCAGAGGGAAGCTGGGATCGGACCCCGAGGAGGGGCTGGGTCTAGCCAGTGCCGTTCTGTGAATTGACTAGAATTGGTCATGGGAGGAAGGAAGTGCCGGCAGGACTGGGGCCGGGTGCAAGGGGAGGCGGGTGCCTGATCTGCCCTTGTCAAGAGCTGGAAAGAGGTGGGCGTGCCAGTCTCCTCACCACCACCCCCAGGAGGGCTTGTACAGCTTTGGGAATCTGCCCCCCCCCCAAGGGAGGCTTGGCTGTTGCATCCCCGCCCCCCTCCCCCTGCCCGGCACAAGTGGGAACTGGTGGGAGGCGCCCCTCGTGAGAGGCTGGTCTTTTTGGAGATGCCCTCCCCCCACCGCCCCACACCTCCTTCCTCCAGAGCAGCAGTGGTTTCCGCAGGCTGTGCTGGGTGCGGGAAGGCCGGTCCTTGAGAGCGCCGAGGAGGTGCCAGGAGGGTCTAAATCTAGGGGTGTTGTGGAGCTGTACCACCAGAGGGCTCCCGGAAGTGGCCCTGTGCCCCAGGGGTGTGTGTGTGTGTGTGTGCCAACGGCAAAGCACTGGAGAGGCCTTGTTCCAGGAGGCTCCAGGGATTGTGGGTAAGAAGCTGGCTGGGGTCTGTCCAGGTGCCAGTTCCTGGGTGCCACCCCTTTCGTGGCGGGGGAGGCGGTTACTTCCCTTGTAGGGAACTCACGCAAACCGGGACGAGGCCTATCCGCTCCGGAGGCCCGTCCCGACTCTGTTCTGCTGCGGCCTTTTGGGGTGGGGGGTTCTCACCTGCTCCTCCTGGGGCGGCTTCCAGCAAAGCCACCTTCCCCCCCACCCTACCCAGGAAGTGGCATTCTCTTGCGGGGGGCCTCAGGCTGCAGGGCTTGTGGGTAGCAAGCCATGGAGCTCTACCCGAGGAGCCTCTTCCCCAAAGACAGCCTGCGTCGGCCCTTTTACTTCCCCAGTCCGGCATCTGTCGTTCCCAAAGCCGGAATGGACGCCGCAGGCAAACGGGGCGTTGTGTGTCCGCAGGCCGCGGAGGGAGAAAATCATCCATCCCGCTGCAAGCAAAGTCTGTCTCTCTCCC